TATTAATAAAATTTTTAATAATTTTAATTTTTCTCTAATTGCAGGTTCTCTCTAAATGCAGGTCAAAGTACTGGTCCTGGCAACATGCACTTAGAGGGAGTTGACTGTATTTTGGTTTATGCAATATTGTAAAACTGCTAAAGTTTTTGCACACTAAAAAAATTTGATTCTATTGCAAGGCCTAAAAGATTTTGGGTATTTCTGTATTTAGTTTATATATTAATTTTTTTTGAAATATCACAATCAAATTTGATCATAACAAAATCGAATTTTGTAACAATCTTGAAGAGTCAAATCCGCCTATATCGATATGTGTTATCGATCATGTGCTAATTTAGAAATTTGATTGGCTGGAACATCACATGGCGCAGAATTTTTCGGGGTAGTACTACATGGCTAGGGTACGTACAATAATAGACCCGGAAAAGCTTGAAGCATAATAAAAATCCAATACATGACATTTATGACAGTAAAAAAATCCGCAGATTCCAAGAAAATTTTGAATTTTCAATCTGCGTACCGCAGATTCCGCATATAGATTTTGAACACTGACTGTAACAAACTAAAATTATCATCAATTCGAGAGTTCACTAATTTACCGGTTTGACCAATTTGACTGATTCGGTCCAAGAGTTTGATGTTGGTCAGTTTGTCCAGAAGACCCTTTGACCATTGACTAGCAAATTTTTCGATTTTGACCAACTTTGGAAGCGTAGTAATTTTATATAATGATATAATGACCTTTTTTTTTTCTAGAACCACTGATTTTATTATAGAAAAATAATTTACAATAACATTACAGCATAATCATCTTATTGTCTCCGTATAGACGAACCATACTTATCGTGTGTCATAAAATAAGTACGGTAGAATTTTAACGGATTTTGATATTCTTCACCAAAGCAAAAACAGGAACCACTATGGTTCTTTTATCTTTGAAATAAAAGAACCTAAAAATTTTGTTTTTTGCCGGAGAAGTTACGAAAGTTGAAATCTATTTTGAATGAACATCCAAATGATAAATGACAATGGAATCTGTGGGACAAATAAAAGCACGTGTTTTCTAGAGATATAAAAATGAAAATTCCGAGCCAAGTTTTCTTAGCGACTGTCGCAAAAAAAATCTAATCATTTTGGAATTTTACGTTTATGAATATGGATTCGTCTCCTCCTCCACCAGGATCAGTACAGGAACCAACTCCATTATCGGACGCTGAAAAGGTAAAAATAGAATAATCTGCTTTTAAAGAAGAATTACTAAAATATACATTGCATTTTATTAATCTCCTGATTTTCATTTTAGATACGTTTAAAGCGTCTTGCAAAACTACAGCAAGGAAATTCTAATAATTCTGGTGAATCTTCTCAACCCACTGCGTCATCCTCTAAAACAGTGTCTGCGCGGACGAATATTTCACCAAAAACGCCTACGCAAGAAAAACCTGCATCGCCGATCAAAAGATATTCGCTACCTGTTAATCAAGAACTTCCTGAGAAGGTATGACCTTTATTATTATTTTAGAATCCTCCCATTTGATAGCATACTTTGTTTATAAGGAATTACCGTTCTTGTACGGCAAAAATCTAGAATTATAATCCGCAGTGCATTTACACCAGTTTATGGCAAAAAGCTTGATCGGTTATTCCGATTTAGATTTTATGCTTGAATTTTATAAATTTTATAATCCTTCATATTTCTTATGAATCTTTTAAAACCCTGCATACTGTTTCCACCATAGACTCCTCCCAAAATTTTGCCACCAATTAAATCATTTGAAGACTGGCAAAATGATACCATCTCCAAAATTCTTCAAATTACCCTTGATGTAAGTTGATCGTTATATAATTGGTTTAGAACGTTCCTTTATGATCTTGATAACTTATGCTTATTGCATTCGGTAAATTTTTTTTTTAATTATCAAAGAAATCAACGGCCGAAAAAAGTGGAAATCGATTGATTTATCTTGATTCTGTTGTGAAAACATTAATGGAAGAAAATCCTGGTATTATTCAATATATAACTAGTCATAATTCACATTTTAAATGCTAGCAACAATTTCATCGCATGTTATACTAAATTTAAAATAATTAATAGGAACGGATTCTTTTAAATTGTCAAAATCGACTATTGATAGTGCTCTTTTTGCTCGACTATCTATTGATCCTAATCAAATGAGTGATAGTGACCAGCCCCCCCAAATTCCCTTATTTGATTATCTGCTTGACAGTTGGAAAAAGGCTTCCGAAATTAAAAGATCAACACGTGCTTCTAAGGTATTAATTCATAATAGTTATTTTCAGAAGTTATTATAATTAATTGTTTCCTTAATGACTAACGAAATGTTGAAATTTATAGACTTTAGAACAATCGGTTATTAATGAGCGAGTTGATGTCATAGATCACCTTAAAGAGCTTATAATTAACTATGTACAATATGTCCTTCTATATCCTAATGACCTTCCACAAGTCAGAAAGTTGGTGTATTTTATTAATTCATTTGAGATTAAGTTATTATGATATATTTTATTAAAACTATTTATTGAATTGATTTAGTTCTATTGACCTTGGCCCTAATCAATTCATATCGAGATTAACAGCAGAATTTGATTCTCCTGAAGGATTACCTTTAGATTTCATTAAAGAATTAATAAATAAAATTGATGATGAAGGCTTTGAAAAGGTAATAATAAATAATTTATAGTTATTGTATGGGTATGTATGAATAACCCAGTTGCACACGGATTATTCAGACAATAACCATATTATTGCACGGGTTGTCACATAAGACCCGTGCAATAAATTATTTAATTGTATTTGTCATCTTAAAACTCAATATATTCATATATTTTTATTTATTTTCTTAGTTGTTTGCGCCTGCATTAATGGGATATGGGGCCCAAATAAGGACAAAAAATATATTAAGCATGGATTATCTGTTACCTCTTAATGTAATATAATATATTATATAATTTGAAATTTTAATCTTATGATATATTTAATTAAATAATAAATTTTATGTTAGTCATTGGTAACCCTATCGGAAATGAAACCATTGGCCGATAAGGTAACGCAAAAAACCGCTTTTAAATAAATATCATAGAATTGTTATTAAATGCATTTAAAAATAGATAACGAAATTGCGCAATTGGAATTCACCCAATACGAACGCAAGAATATTTGAAGGTGGTTCATTTTTGGGACCATTTTGTAAATTTTCCGCTTTTCCGACCGATGAGGTTTTTTTTTTTTTTCATTACAGAATTTAAAATATTTTTGATTAATTTTTTCATTATCTAAAATGGCTTTAATTTGACGAATCAGCCAAAAATTGCTGAAAGCTATTTTACTAACCCCAATACAAGGAGGCAAGCTGATATTGATTCAGCGATGATGAGCTTAAGAGGTGCTATACGTGGGGTGCAGGTTGATATAAACTTATTAAAAATATTAATTCTTTCATTGATTCCTTATACACGCTTGTCTAAATTTTATTCCTTAATTATTTTACGAACGAATAGCAATCTGTTTTCAAAATCTTCAATAATATTGTTCGTTCCTCACCATCAGCGCGAGAGTCTGCGCTTAGTTATTTTGCTGAGGTCATTAAATTAAATGAGCGAAGGGCTCAAATGCAGGTTAATATTATTGTAAATTTATTTTTCACTCGTTTATTGTTTCAATAATAGATTTTATTTTCTATATACTGAATTATTAGGTTGACCCATTCCAAGTTGGATCTGATGGATTCTTAATGAATTTGACAAGTATATTATTACATTTTGCAGATCCCATTATGGATATGCGAAATCCAAAGGTAATTATTTTCTCTTCCATTATCCATATTAGAATAAAATGGCTTATTATATATATAAATTTTTTTTTTCGAAGATTGACCGCATAGATGTCGATTATTTTCGTAAATCTAATCGAATTGATATTAGCCGGGAGACCAAAATTAAGGCTACTCAACAAGAGGCAGATGCGTATTTTTCAAAAATAGACGAAAGTGCATCTGGTAAGATTACATTATAACTTTATCTAGCCTTGAGTAAACCATTGGATTTTTTAATGAAATTTTTGTATCAATAATAGCTCCAAATTTTATATCCGAAATATTTTTCCTTACAATTGCTATGCATCATTATGGTCCATTACATTCCTATGAAGTTTTTAATAATTTTATAAGAGATATAGTAGAGCGTCAAAAACAATATGATCGAATGAGAGCTGATCAGCCTAATTGGGCGGGGGTATATATACATATTTTAAAACTTTTAAAGTATTTGGTTTCAGCTTTTATGAATGATTATCAATCACTCTTAACATTTTCAATCATTAGACTCCGATGGCTGCAAGAAATGAAGAACTGTTGGCACATTGTAAAGTTCGTAATGTTCAATAACCGAACCTCATTTATTGAATTTTTTACTAATTCCAAATAATTATATAATAGACGCAACTTGAAAAATACCAATCACACAGAATAGCATATGAGACACAACTTTTAGATCAAGTTTATTTGGATCATTCTCTAAAATTTTATAATCTAGTTATGAATTGGATGCTGAGAATTGTTGACCCTGACGGGAAACATCCAGAAAAACGAATACAGTATATATCTTTTAATTACATTGAAATTACATTGTAATTTAATTCCTACAGTAAATTGATTATAATTATTATACTTATATTAGGTTACCGCTTCCTCCAACACCACCTGACGCGTTCACCATGTTGCCTGAATTTATTTTTGAAGATGTAACTGAAATATTTCTGTTTGTCGCAAAGTAAGCAATTTATGGTTGTTTGTAAAAACGCTACATAATTACTCTCCTTAACATAAATTTCTTTGTACGTTCAGGTATATTCCGAGAGCGGCTGCTGTCTCTCGAGATGACTTGATAGTTTTCATTATCACTTTTCTCAAATCATCATCTTATATTAAGAAACCCTATTTGAAGGCAAAATTAGTAGAGGTACGCTATAACTTTATTATTATTTCTCAATTAGTATTATTTTTATAAAAAAATAGATTTGGCGAATTAATTTCTTGTTATTTTAGATTTTATTCTACTTTACGTTTCGTAGTAATGATCGTGAAGTTGGTATGGTATCATTATTGAATTCACATCCTCTTGCTCTGAATCATCTGTTGCCAGCTCTAATGTCCTTTTATGTTGGTAAGAGTCTGTTTTCACAAATCACTTGCAATTCATTTAATAATTACATTAATATATGTTGATATAAATTAATCAAATTATTAGAGGTGGAACAAACTGGTGCACATACGCAATTTTATGATAAATTTAATATTCGATATAATATTTCACAAATATTCAAGGCAATATGGGGTAATCATTTGCATAAAGAAAAATTAAAAGAAGAGAGTCGGTGAGTCTTATCTAACGGTCTCGTAGTAATTATAACATAGAGATGCAAACTTATTATATTGCAAAAATAATTCAGTAATTATAAATCTGCATCTCTATTAGAATATTTATGATTCATATATATATACTATATTACATAAACTCATTATGGTATATTTATTTATTTTTATTAACAGTAACATCGATTCCTTTGTTCGATTTGCAAATTTGTTGATGAATGATGTTACCTATTTATTGGATGAAAGTTTAAGAAAACTTGCAGAAATTCATTCTATACAAACCGAAATGGATAATAAAGAGGAGTGGGAGAATCAAACACAGGTTTGTTAACAAACTTAATTTTTTGTCAAACAAATTATAAAAATTATAATATATTGTATTAATCGCAGTGATATGGTTTTTGCATGAAATAAAATATAATTATATTAGCAATATCGCCAAGAGCGCGAAGGCACACTCCGATCTGATGAACGATCAGCGACCTCATACATGTCACTTGGGAATGAAACAGTAGAGATGTTGGTATTTATGACTTCAGAAGTTGCGGATCCATTCCTTACACCTCAAATGGTTGATCGATTGGCAGCGATGTTGGACTATAATTTAAAGTCACTAGTTGGACCAAAATGTACCGAACTTAAAGTTCGAAATCCAGAAACATATAGTTTTAAACCTAAAGAATTATTGTCGCAATTGGTTAATATTTATTTGAACTTATGTAAACATAAAGAATTTGTACACGCAGTTGCAATCGATCAACGAAGTTATGATCAAAAGTATTTTTCAAAAGCAGTTAGTATTTTATTGAAATGGGGATTAATTTCTGATAAGAATGCCAGTGAGCTGGAGAAATTTGTTAATGAAGTGGAAGTAACAATTAAATCGGAAGGAGATGATGAGTTGGGTGAAATTCCAGATGAATTTTTGGGTAAGTGAACTAATTAATACATTCTTTAATTAATACATTCTTTATTAGTTACATTAACTAATGTTATATGATATATTAGATCCAGTTTTGTATACTATTATGGAAGATCCTGTAATTCTACCCGGTTCGAGAGTAACCGTCGATCGAAGTACTATTAAAACACATCTATTAAGTGATACAACAGATCCATTTAATAGAATGCCATTAAATATTGAGGATGTTATATCAAGTAAGTTAAAACATTAATATATAAAAGAGAAGAAATATTATCTAATTACATATTTTGATTTTTAGATACTGAATTAAAGGAACGTATAGAAAAATTTCTGCAGGAAAAGCGGCAAAAATAACAAATATTTGAATATGAATGTGACTTGGTTGTTAAGGTACACAAATTTAGATAGTAATAAAACCTCCCTTTTGTTATACTATTGTATTAATAGTGACACTTTCTAGCAATTATTGTCTAAGATTTAATTATTTTGTTCTTTTGCGCTATTGTATAACAAGTCATGTACAAAAAAAACATTTAAGCTTGAATTATATACTTTTTTTTTTTTTTGTGATTATTATATTGACTTTGTATTATTGCGAATTCTTTGTACATTTGCGTTAAACCTTCATATCGAGCAGTAAATTATAACAATTTACGAATAAATCGGTTTGTATAAGTAAAATTGTATATAACACATTCGTTATAGTAAATGATCTCTAAAAAATAGCGAGATAATACTAATAAGTTACCGAGTCAATCAATAAATTGAACCGCGTCAATTTTGGACTGCATTCATTTTTGGGACATTTGGCCTACGTCAGTAGTTTATTGATTCCGACTCGATTAAAAATTTTAAAAATAATGAAAACAGCTGTAAAGTAATTTAGGCCGATGATTTCAAAATTTTTAATTTTGGCCGGAAATTTTTTTAGAAACAAAAAAGGAAATTTTTTAAAAAACAGGCCTGCTTTATGGTAAAGCTGGCTCAGGAACATAATAAGTTTCATCGGTAGAATTTTGCGTAATTTTTGCCTAATTCATTTTTTTGTCGCGCATTTTTTATGCGACACCTAGAATAAGTTACTGACGAATCAAAAACTTATCGATTCGGTCATTTACAGGAACTGGGTTGGCTATCTTCGAATTTAATTTTTATAAAAATAAGCTGGAGCACCATTTATTATAACTTTTATTACTGATTACTGATAATGGATTATAACTTGATATACCGATACAGTATATGTGTACAGTATACGTAACCTAAAATCAGGTGACTAATATTATAAGACTACAGAAATATGATATTTTCGAAATTTTTTAAAGGAGGACCCCAAATTTTCGAGTCGAATGCGTTAGAGCTAGGCCGGCATTAGCAATATTAGTTATCAGAGTCTACAGTTAGTGTTCCAAATCGAAAATCGATTAATCATTTAGTTAACTAATCGAGATAATTTTATTAAAAAACTAATCGATTACTGATTAATCGATTAGATTTTTTTTATGTGGAATTTTATATTCAAATTATACAGTATCCAAGCCATTTTAATATATCAATATACAACAACTAATCGATTAGTCAATTAGTTAATGATAATCGATTTTTTAAACCCATTTTTAGTCAACTAATCGATTGCATTTTTGGAACATTAACGTTAGTCTATAGCAAAACTATCTTTTTACGTAACAGTTAATGAATGGTGATCTTGATATATTCAGTTAGAAAAAAGTTGCTAAACACTTAAAAGCCCTTTTAAACAAATATTGATTTTTGGAATCTTAAATTGACAAATTGACAAATTCTTGACCATATCTAGCTTTTTTAATATTAGCACCTATTTGTACGTATCATATGTTTATTATAATTTAAATCTGATGCCTTTTTTATATTTCTTGTCAAGATTTAGTCATTTCGTACAAACTAAACACACTATACATGTTAGACAGTGGATATACTCCATCGAGAAAATTACCAATGGAGCCAATGAAACTAATGTAGAACTCAATGGAGCCAATGGCTCCAATAGAAAAATCTAACGAAGCCGATGAATAATAGGGTTCTAATCTCTAACTCATATACAAGTCAAACGGATCAATTTTAATGGAGTTGGTTGGCTTCCATTGGCTCCATTCAGAAACTATTCTCAATGGAGCAATGGAGTTGTTCACCATTTGGGTCAGTCTGTACCGTTGAGTATTCGGGCAAAATTCCTTAAATTGAAATATCGAAGTTCAATCAATTTTAATAATTAAGGTTAACAATAGAAATTTTGAACCTTTGAACAAGAATTGTAATAAATTGTTATATGATATTATGTGATAAGACTTGCACTAAAAGTAGAGCATCTACTCAAGAATATGGTCCAATGAATTATCAAAGTTTGATCAAAAGTGCCCGAATACTCATAACGGTACAGACTGACCCATTTGCCTCAATGGATAAATGTCAACCCTGAATGTTAGGCAAGCAGTCAAATGAAAATTTAATAATGTTGAAACAAGTACATGTACGTAATATAAAAATATATACAAAAGAATCATTCGGCTAATTTTTGTCAGATGTCCCAGAATTTGATAATACATAAGCTTATATAAGTGTAAAAAACTTCCTATTAGGTATTAGCGTGACAATTCCCCGATCACTATGCCAAGATCATGGAATAATAACCTGATCCATATATGAATAAGCGGAAACTTCGATTCCGGCTAATCCTCTACTAAACTACTACCCCTTTCCCCTCTTAAAATTACGTAATAAACGGCATTCCCCTAATACTGTAATGGTTAGACATCTGAGGCTATCGGTCATTTGATCATTTATCACATGAAATAATTTTTATTGGCTAAATAGCTAATATAAAAAATTACTACAATAAACGATATATATACACAGTATATATTCAGTATACGTATAAGTATGCATAATTTTTATAGTACACAAAATATTATTAGTTAGAGATACTTAAATAAATAGTAAAGTAAATGATTTTTATATATTAAGGCTAAGAGAATAAATATTTTTTTATTATAAAAATTTTGATATACAGTAGTTAAAATTTTTTTAAACCAATTTTATTAATAATTAATAAAATTAAAAATTTGATCGTTATTCTAGTAAAATTACAGTATTATAATTCTGCCAAAATTATAAAAATATTTTTTTAAACCACCAATTATATACAGTATATATATAGCAATAGCTTTATTTTTTTGTATAATAATTTTAATTGGTTAAAGTTACGTACTAGATTATCAATTAATTAAAGCTAAATACTGAAATAACCTCCCCAATTCATTAATTCATGGAATGTGGGACTAGAATTTGTTATCAGGAACATTTGGAATTATTTTACAGTATGCCCCCAGAACCGAACAATGCGTAGAAGTTATAAATAAGGTTTAACCAATCAGAATTGCAGTTTTTAGATAGAATCTTATATTAACTTAGTATAACCTCTAATATATGCTATTATTCGGGTCCATATATTTATTTGTGATATAACTGAATGATTAACGAATCAGCTTAATACTGTATAGAAAATTAGATAAATTAAATAATTGCTACGTATCAGCGTACGTAAGTCTATGGTAAAACAAAACAAATAATTCGAGTAACTGTAGTCATTATCAATTGAGAGGGTAACAAACATACATGTGCAGTTTAGTATCTACGTACTACATTTTATACGTCATTATTTTGATACACAAAATCTTGAAATTTCATTGGATTCCCCGGACCAAAAATTTTAGTTTCAGAAGCCCGATTTTGCGATCTAACGTTAAAAAAGTTTATCGTTAATTAAAAAAACGTTGAGGTATTTTCTACTTTATATAAATTAGGGAAGATTACAACCCTTTCCATATTGCATCATTTAAGTTCCTAACGCCGCTTCATTAATTAATCTAAATAAGGACAAATACTAAACAAACAAAATGTTACTCCTTCCTTTCATTATTTGGAGATTTTAAAAATCTAATGGCTTTTACTCAAGTTTTATCATTACCCTTAATTTAATGCTTTGCGATTTAATTTATTATTAAATTTAGGCTATAATTCGAGAGAACTTAATATCATTATTATGGTAAATGATTTTTATTATGATATTATTTCACACCTTCCATATGTAAACCTAAAATGTTTAGATAATATTGTAATCTACTTGTACTGTAATACTCGGATGACTCATTGATGGTAATCACAGCTTATTACTATTTCACCCTTCTTGTTGTTAACCGCCGAATTTAAACTTTATTTAGTATAAGTCTCATTGTCTTATTTTGTAGTCATATGCTCGGGTATTACAATTAGTCATAATCATAACTAAGTAGTGTTATCGTTATCATTGTGTACTTATCTGTTTAATTGAGAAATTTCATGTTACGTATTTCGAATCTTACGTAGGTAAATATTTATAATTCTTTGAATAGTTGTTTATTAAAAAAAAAAAAAAAAAAAAACTTTGATATCATTCATTTTTCTGTCATCATCATATGCGTTTTTGTGAACATTCTTTTTTTTTCATGTTCACATTAAAAAAAAATAATAATCACAAATAAAATTTATTAATTAAAATAAAAAAATTGTGATTTTTTAAAAATTTATATTCACTGCGAACTCCGTGAACATATGATTTCCAACACTAATCATATGTAATTCATATACTCTCGCTCTTATCAAATTCTTAAAATGATTCATCTACACTTGATCAGATAAACTACTCCCAGAATCGTAAATTAAATCTCATGCATTAGCCAATGGTTATTCAAAAAGAAAAAAAAAATCGCTTGATTTAAGAAATTACCTTTTGTGTTCTAACAAAAAGTTTTTTTCCCTGAATAATTTAATGTACATTAAATCTGTAAATGTTAATCTACTGTAGTAACAAAATTATCATGTGCGTGAAAATTTAGTCGATCACGTATGATGTAACTTATTAAACTATCATCCGGAGCGAACACTAATCAATCCGGCAAGTAACACAAAGCGCTCCGGACTTTAATTAATAATAAAATACACTTTATTTTCTTAATAATATGCATTTCAATTATGCAGAATTATATAGGCAAATTTAAATGTATAAATGTTAATTATAATTTTTTTTAGATCATTAATACATAATATTTGTTGCATTATGATTTTGAATGATTTAGATTAGATGTGGCACGTAATGACACGTATGAAGTTTTTAACAAATAAAAAACGCGTGTTTTATATATATCCCTCAGTTATCGTAAGTAATCTAACCTTTTCAATCTTTTCAATCTTTTTCAGCAGGACTATCTTTCTCATCTGCATTCTTTGTATTATCTGAACTCTCTGTACCATCTCGTTCTGAATAAAACTTCTTAAGATAAGTTTCCGCCTCTTTATATTCATCTTTGACTTTTACCAACAGACTCGAAATTTTTTTTAGAGCATCTTCCTCAGAAATACTTTCTGTGCCCGTCTCATCTTTCTTATTTCCATAATGTTGCATTTTTTCACATGATTCTTTAACCTTCTTTAGTCCGATTGCGGCTGAACTCCCTTTAAGGAAATGCCCTAATTTTGATAATTCATCAAGTTTTTCATCACTCCTAATTAATGTCCAGACAATAAAAAAAAAAAT